CTCTCTCTCTCTCTCTCTCTCTCTCTCTCTCTGTATGTGTGTGTGTGGTATATGTCTAAATTCATGTAGGCATGTACACATGTGTGTGCTCTATGAGTGTTTCAACATGAGCCTATAGAGACCAGAGGTTGTATAAGGGTGTCAGGTATCTTCTCTGGTAGCTCTCCAATATATATATAGTTGGAACCTGCTATCATGATGACCCTGCCCCCTGACAATGGGTAGGACAAGCATACGGCATTTAGGCAGATACTTAGGCAGCTCAAAGGGCCCTGTGTTGCATGGCCACATCATTGCTACGTCACTCGTTATGGGGCTGCATAAGAACTCAGTACAAATGTGCAAGTTTCCCCTTTTAAGTGAGCACCTCCATGTGTTTGCCTTCCTCTTTGCTCCCTTCCGCTCACCCTCTTCGTCTCTCTCTCTCTCTCTCTCTCTCTCTCTCTCTCTCTCTCTCCCTCTCTCTCTCTCCCCCTTGGTCTCTCTCTCTTCTCCCCCTCTTGCTCTCCCCTCCACCTGTAATAAACTCTATGGTTAATGTACCTCCTGGTTCTTGTTCTGGTTCTATAGTGTTCTATCTTTAACTTAAACAAAAGAACAACATATACATACACATATACCACATATACACCATATATACTATATATATCCTACATTTGACACATATACCATATATACAATGCATAAATACATATATATACTGAATGTATGAGTGTTTTTGCCTGCCTGTATATCTGTGCACCACATGCATACAGTACTCACAGAGACCAGGTCATTAGGTTTGGAGGCATAAACTGTTACCTGCTGAACCATCGCGCAGGCTTTTTTTTTTTTTTCTTTGAGACAAGGTTTCTGTGTAGTTTTGTAGACCAGGCTGGCCTTGAACTCATAGAGATCTACCTGCCTCTTCCTCCCTAGTGCTGAGATTAAAGGTGTGCACCACCATTGCCCAACTCCTCTACATTATATTTTGAAACTGAATATAATCCCACTGAACCTGGAACTCATCAGTTTGGTTAGGTGGCTGACCAATAAACTTGAGGGATGCCTCCATCTGTGTTGCATGTAATACCTAGGATAATGAAAATAGTGTACACATAGTTCTACAATATGTTGTTTGGGGGGTAATCACCACAGAGGGAAAAGAGTCTGTATATTAGCTATGTACGCAGTTCGTTTGGCACAATAGATCTGCACTAAGTTGATTCTGTAGGCACACAAATTGTGGATACAAAGACCTAAGTGCATGTCTTTGGTACTCTGTGGTAGACTCCCAGATACGAATTGAATGAATTGAGAGACAGCTGCTTTTCAAATCTGGTAAATGCTTCCAAATTGTCATTAAAAACTGATTATGAATAATCTCATGTTCAAGTGCACACGAAAGCTCCTCAGCCTTGACACATGAAGAGTGCTTTGCTTTTCTTTGTACCTTTTAGATTTGTTTAAAGGAATTTATCTTTTCATATATTTACTTAATTTCTTCCTGTAAATTCTTTAATCATGAATTTCCCCGTTTTTCATAAACGTCTGTCTTTTGCTATGTATTTGCAAGGAATCTTTCCCCATTTTGGCTGATATTTTTGTGTATGATTCTATACTGCAATATTTTCTCCCTGCTATTTCTTTGCTTATGACACTACTTGTGGATCAGACAGTTTTGTTGTGTTTATCTGTAGTTTCTTTCTTTCTTCCTTTTGTTTTTATTTTGAGACAGGGTTTTTCTGTGCAGCCCTGGTTGTCCTGGAACTCACTCTGTAGACCAGGATGGCCTCGAACTCACTGAGATCTGCTTGCCTTCCAATTGCTGGGACTAAAGTGTGCACTACCACTGCCTCGCCATGTCTGTAATTTCTTGATGGTTAGCAGTCTTCTCATTTTTACTCTGGGGACATTTCATATCAGAAGATGATCATTTTTTTCTAATTCTTTGACCTATTTTGAATTAATTTGTATAAATGTATGTGGAAGGGCTGTCACATGATTTCCCCACTGATAAAATATATAATTACCTCATTACCATATAGTACATATTTTAAAATGCATTTTAAGTAAATAAAATTCATGGAGACAGAAAATGAAAAAGAGGTTACCAGAGAGCTGAAAGAAGTAGGGAACTCATTATATAAGACATACAATTTCTGTTTGGCATGATGGAAAATTCTAGAAATAGATAGTGGTGATGGTTACAAAACATTGTGAAAGTGCTTATGGCCATGCAATTGTTCACATAAAATGATTAATGTAGTAAATTTACTCTCTTAACAATTTAAACATATTTTACTGGTATATATTCACTGCATTTAGCGCTGAATTTCATAAAGAAAATCTCATACTTTTACCATATCCTTCCCCATATCCCTGTCATGTGCTGAACAGACGCTTTTAATTTCATGCAATTATGTTTGTCAACTCTTGACATTATTTCCTGGGCTGTTAGAATGCTTTCCAAAAAGTCCTTGCATAGTCCTGTATCTTACAATGTTTCCTCATATTTTTCTCTGACACTTTCACAGTTTTAGGTCTTTATTCTACTCTGAACTGATTTTTGTATACATAGGTGTGAGCTCATGTGAGGACAATACATATATACATCTCAGACCCCAATACACACACACACACACACACACACACACACACACGGGGTGGGGGGGAGAATGAGAATGGATCTCCAATTTTCCAGGACCATCTCTTGAAGACGTTGTCTTTTCTACAATGTATGCGTTTGACAGCTCTGTCACAATCAGGCAGCCATGTGGGTTTAATCTTGGGTCTTTGATTCTACTCCATTAGTTCACAAGCTTCTTCTGTGTCATCCCCATAGCTTTTTTGTTACTGTAGTTTGACTTAAAATCAAATATAGTGATATCTCTAATGATGTTCTCTTTGCTTAGGTTTTTTGTTTTGTTTTTTGTTTTTTTTTTCTGGGGTCTTTTATGCTTCCATATAAATTTTAAGATTGCTTTCCCTTTCTGTTTAGTATGTTATTGGAATTTTGATGGGAATTACAGTGAATTTGTAGATTACTTTCTAGTACTATAGTATTTCAATGTTAATTCTGCTGATATATCAGCACAGGAGGTCTGGGTTTCTCTGTGTAGCCTTGGCTGCCCTGGAACTCACTCTGTAGACCAGGCTGACTGAAAACCTAGAGATCCTCCTTCCTTGGCCTCCCAAGTGCTGGGATCAAAGTTGTGTACCACCACACCCATTGTAAGTAATGTTTTGAAGCTGTCATCAATAAGATGGATTGATTCTCTTAGCACATTCATTAATAGAACATAGAAACCATGCTGATTTTTTTTAAAAAAAGATTGACTTAATGTGTATGAGTTTTCCTGTATGTATATATGTGTACCATGTGTATGCCTGGTACCTGTAGAGGTCAGAAGAGCATGCCAGATACCCTGGAACTGGAGGCACAGATAGCTACAAATCACCAAATAGGTGCTGGGGACTGAATTCAGGTTCTTTGCTAATGAGTACTTGAAATAGCTGAGTGACCTCTCCCAGCCCCCAAACTACTGATTTTTTTGAATGCTGACTTTGTATCCAGTTATGCTTTTTGGTAGACTCTTTAGAATCTCTTGTGTACAGGATTGTATTGTCTACAAATGGGGATTTGGCTTCTTTTCCTATTTGAATGTTCTATATCTTTCTCTTGTCTATCTAAGAGTCCCATTGTCTCACTCTTAATTTTGGAAGAAATGCTCCCAGTTTTACCATCTAGTAAAAAACTGGCTGTAGATTTGTTTTATATAGCCTTTATTGTGTTCCTTCTATTTCTGTGTGGTGATTAATCTTAGTGTCACCTCCATGAGATATAGAATAAAAAGACATTTTAATATAATATATTTGATGTAATATATAAAATATATTATATATATATATATATATATATAATTTATAGCTACTTTTTCCACAAAAGGCATAGAGTAACAAAGACAAATGTATTTTGCCTTCCAGTTATCTTTACAAGAATATGGAAAAGAAGTGGACATCTTTGCTTTAGGACTTATTCTAGGTGAACTCCTTCACATATGCATCACTGACTTAGAAAAGTCAAAGGTAAATATCCCAAGAAAGAATTAAGCAAACTAAAGCAATTGGTTGTAATCCTTCAAGCACCACTGCTATTGCCATTGGGCGAGGGTGTGGTGTGACCACATTGCTTCTGGTTGTAAGTGAAACGTATATTCTTCTTTCAAGTGTTGACAACCATTTTGCTACAGATTTAAGAACTTTGGCTTTCTGTAGAATATGTGTATATCCCATAAGATTTCTATTTGAGTGTGCCAATAAAATTTCACTGATTAGAAGGCAGTTTCTGAGCCAGGCGTTGGTTTCGCATACCTTTAATCCCAGTACCCAGGAGGCAGAGGCAGGCAGATCTCTGTGAGTTTGAAGCCAGCCTGGTCTACAGAGCAAGTACCAGGACAGATTCCAAAACAATACAGAGAAACCCTGTCTCAAAACAACAACAACAACAAAAACAGGCACTTTTGCTCATAAGAGCATGAATATAAAAATAAGCCAGTTTCTCAAGGGATTCACTTTCTAAGAGGAAAGATAACAGCAGAGAATGACTACGTGTTTTAGAAGAAAGAAAATCTGTGGAAGCAGCTGAAAGATCTTTCCAGAAGTCTGGATTTAGGTTTCATGGAGACATGTAAGTTGGGTACTAGAGGGTCAGGTATTTTTTTTTTTCAGATTATTTATTTAAGGGCATACGTACACTTGGGTGCGCGCGCACGCACGCGCGCGCACACACACACACACACACACACACACACACACACACACACACACGTGTCCACATGCTTATGAAAGTCAGAAGACAACTAACCTGGGTTAGTTCATTCTAATAGTGTGAAGCATGGAACCCAGCATGGAGATATGAATGTACAGTGTGTGCTGGGAATAGCAGGCAGTGTGGTTTTGTCTGGCCTGCAAAGACAGGTTGGAGCTACACGAAGGGAAGAGTTTGGGCTTTGTTAGGTAGGTGGGTAAGTGGTGGGGAACCTCTAGAGACAGACCTGATACATAAGTTGGAAGCTCAGGACAGGGGCTTGTCTGGAGTCAACAGCCTTATCTTCCCTGAAATATGGATGATGGAAAGATGTACTGCCTAGCGTTCCAAAACAGAAGGGAAATGTTAGATCTCATGTAATTAACACTTCAAAGCACTGAATCTTAAGGATGGTTATAAGATCAGGGTAGGTTTAGGGAAGGGAGATCTGCTTGCTTCTTGACTAAAGAGTCCTACATTTAAGAAATATTCTAGATTTAGTGTCTCCCCAGCCATTAGTGTATTTCATTTTTCTTCCATATAAATCGCTTCCTAGTAAATACATCTATTTGTTGTATTTCAGTTTTTCAACGACCTAAGAGATGGCATCTTCCATGATGATATATTTGGCAGCAAGGAAGTAAGCATCTGAAAGTCCTCAGTTTTATTTTCTCCACTGTTTTCTTTCTTTATACTGATTCTTAACTGTAATTACAGAAAAGTCTTCTAAAGAAATTACTCGCGAAGAAACCCATGGAACGACCTAGTACTTCTGAAATTCTGATGACCTTGGCTGAATGGAAGAGTATCTCAGAGATACAGAAAAGACACACACTTTAGGGCCTTCCTGAAAAAGCACTCCACTTTGGATACTTTGTCTTCCTTTAGTTACCTAAAATCTGAGATGGAGCATTAGGGGATACTGTACTTTTTGTCCTTAAGTTTTATAAAAACTTAAGAAAAACCTTTTGCACGCAGTTTTCTGTCATACTTTCTCTTCCTTCTTTCCTTCCTTTTTTCTTCTTTCATTTTTGTTGTTGTTACTTCAGAAACATTTTTTAAAAGTTATTCTTTGGCAATTCCATAGAGGTATTGTGCTCCGATCATACTCATTCCCACCCTTTCTTGGGTACTCATGCCAACATGACCCCCTCTGCTGTGCATGCTTCATCATGTGAACTGTAGCCTCTGGATGTGGAAGTCCAAATAAATCATTTTGTGATTCATTGTGATGAGAAAAGTAATGAAATAGTACCAGAAGTAGGGTTTTGTTGCAATAAACCTAGCTACCATGTGGTTCTTAGGCTTTCAGAACTGGTTTTGTTGGAGGTCTGTGAAAAAGTTAGGAGCTGTAGGCTACAGAACTCCTAGAATGCTGTAAGTCAAACTTAATGTGGGATCTCTACGTTTTAGAGAAAAGGAATCCATTGTTCAATTGGACTAGATAGAGGACATTTGTGTAAAATTCAAAAGTAATGATTTGTTTGGTGAAGGGAATTTCAAGACATTCAGGCTGGGGAATGGTAGCTGTTTCCTACTTTTAGATGTTTCCTACTTTTAGGGTAAATGAGGAAAGGAAGAGGAGTAGTAAGATATGAAAAAAAAATGAAGGTTTTGGAAAATGAGTGCCTTCAAAGACAAGGTGGGTACGAAGTTGCTGGAATTGTTAAAGAGATTAGTGCCATTAAAGAGGAACCATGAACTTTACACTGCTAGTATTATAGGAACAAGATTGCACCCATGGAAGACTAGAGTGTGAAAATGAAAAACCATCTGAAGGCCTTTCATGTCAAACATTCAAGTGGGAATAGAATACTTAGGGTAGCAGTCTTTCTGTTTCAACTGCTCAGGAGCTCAGAGAATGCTACAGCTATAGCCTGAGGAGCTCATTTACATTTCAAGATGGTGGCAGGACTTGGCACTATCTCTATGAAGGTAGTTTTGTAGGAAAGTAGAATGTAAGGGTCACGGGGTCAGAGATGCTTGTCCCATGGTTCCAGAACAAGCCTGTGAGGACAATGTATAATAGGATGGGCAGATTCCCAGAAAGGCTGAGAGGCTGCTGTGTGTGAAGCTATGAAGGTGAAACAGTGACCCCAGGATGTTGGAGATGACCAGAACATAGAACGTCCACTGAAGCAGTGGTCGAGGATTGGAGCCAGCCCAAGAGGAAGCCCATGAATGCTTCAGGCAGCTTGGCTGTAGGAAGCCTACGGGAGCCTGGATGATACCACTGTGTATATTCCAGATACTGGACATTGGGATGTAGCCTTTGTTTGCCCTGCTTGGATTTAGTCTTGCACTGCACCAGTCTTTCCTTGCTGTTCTCCCAGACTGACTTTTTAGAATGGGGATGTTTACCTGGTATCTTTGTATGCTGCAACATTTGTTTTATAGGTACTCAGAGCTAAGAATTTTCCTTTGCTTCCCAAAACACTTTGGACTTTTGAATGGTGTTGACTATTAAGACTTTGGGGATTTCTGAGGTGGGACTGAACGCATTTTACATTGTGAAATGGCCATGAGACAACAGGGCCTTGGAGACACCCCCATCACCATCAACTGAGGCTTCTGCCAAATCTTGCCTGCCATGAAGGATGGTATCATATGAAATTGAGTCAAAATAAATCTCTTCTCCTCCAAGTTGCATCTTGGGATTTTAGTGCCAAGAGACTCACATACTGTTTATAGAAGCCATAGGAACAAGAAGCACACATAATGCCTTCAAAAAGAAAATGGATGTAAATTTTTATGTATTGGAAAATGAGGTTAAATGTAACAGTGTATGAACAGCATAGTTTTAAGTAAACAAAAGCTTTTAAAATGTTTACAGAAGGGAAGCATTCACATAACACTCGAGAACACATAAGCAAGATCACTTTAAAATAAAATTTTAGGATGCTCGACAAATATGGTGAGATGGAAAAGGAAGATAAAGGAGGAAATGATACTAAATTTACAAGTGGTTGACTGAGAGGAGGGGAGGGGATTATGCGGCTGGTAAGGACGATGCTCAACTAGCCTAAAAAGTTTAAGTACTTTCTGTATCTATTATAACAAAGCCTTGAAGAAGGACAGCTGTGCTGTTGACAGTGGCTAGGCACAGGAAACTATCCATCTGGACAAGCAAGATCGCTTGCTGTAGAACAGAGGGCTTGGAAATTACACTCGAGACTTCCAAGAATGTGAAAAATTTGAAGAGCAGAGAGAACATCTGGGCAAGGTGAGAGATGGGCAGGGCACAACATCCGGAAAGAATGCACACAGGGGACACTGGGGATGGCAGACTTTAGCACCAGATGGCAGCAGGGAATGCTGGAAGATAATGTGGACCACATCCTTGCAGATCTTGAGGTATCTTGGTCTAAACTTTTGAGCATCGAATCACCATTACAAAACTGTGATGTCATTTTACAATTTTTAAAGTGAGCCAAATGCAGGCATACTAGGGGATGAGCTGTAAGAGAAGTACTTTTATAAAGGCCTGTAGCCTTTCTTTAGTTATTCATAAAAAGCATTTGGTATGTTTGCCGACTCTGAGTGTGGCAAAGCAAGGTTCATCCTTTAATGTTAAAACTACAGTGCTGGGAAGAGAACATCCACAAGAGTTTAAAAAGGTGACCACATACCTCTACAACGAAAAGGTGTGTCACCACAATAACAAAGTGAGTCACTCTATCATCACCCAAAGTGGAAGAACCTAATGATGTGTGGCTCCCAATGTCATATCAGAATTAATTTTGTCCCAAATTTATAACTGAAGTACAATCATGAGGAAATTATTAGGCAAAACCTATTAGATAATTTGTTTTTCTTTAAAAAGGTAATTTAACATCAGGTGTTGGTGGCACACTCCTTTAATCCCAGCACTCGGGAGGCAGAGGCAGAGGCAGGAGGATCTCTGTGAGTTCCAAACCAGCCTGGTCTCCAGAGCGAGTTCCAGGACAGCCTCCAAAGCCACAGAGAAACCCTGTCTCGAAAAACCAAAAAAAAAAAAAAAAAAAATGTAACTTAACTCACATGCAAATTGGACGAACTATTCTTTTTAAGAAATACTTATTTTTTTATTTGTTAGTCCATGTCTTTGTATGTGTGTGCAGTGACAGCAGAGGCCAAAAGAGGGCATTCTATCTCCTGAAGCTGGAGTTACAGACTAGGAAGAAAAAGGAAGTACCTGTGATGTTAACCATTAATTACCAAATACAGGTATTTATTTGACTTACTATTTACATTTTTTCAATTTTTTTCTAGGTAGGATGAAATCTCTTTAAAAACACACTAACATTACCTAGCTTTAAAGAATGAAGCTATATTTAAGAGGAATACCAAATAATGTAGCCAGTGAGAGTGTAGCATTTTACTCTTCCCTTACTGATATTTTTACATTATGAAATAAGTATATTATCTCAGCATCTTTTACTGCTGAGGATTTACTTTCTCAGTCTCTAAAAACCAGAAAATAAAAAGATCTTTTAAATCATAGCAACAGTGTGGCAAAGTAGGGCCTCACTTGCTAATTCCAGGTGCAGTTTAAAAAAACAAACAATTTTTTACCTATTTGCTTTACTAGAAACGGACCTAGGAAATTTTTACTAAACACCAAATACACACACACACACACAGAGATATGTGAACTTAACATAAATTTATATCAAACATATGCATAATATTTACACACATGTAGATGTATATGTATGGCTGGTTGCATAATTTGTAGAACCCGGTTTGAAATGAAATGTAAGGTGTTTTTTAAGTGGCATGGTCTAGTGCAACCGTACAGACTGCCTGCCCACTAAGTACATGCTGTGTACACATCTACATGTGACATGAGACACCTAAGTGTCATCATTTGCAGACTCATGCGACAGACTTTCATTCCACACTTCAATGTTCACCATAGGATGAGGTTTTTTGGCATGTTTAATATTTTATTATAAGAGAAATATTCTCATTCAATATTAATTCTCATAATTTTTTATCTTCAAACATAGACAAGAATGATGGGACTCTATGTAACATTATGTGGCTTAATAAACAATATTTTACCTTTGTTGTTACACCTATCCCTTCCTTTTTTCTTTGACTGGAAAATCTTACTGTGAACCTCAGGCATTATAGTGTTTCAGTAGTAAATATCTAAAGGTTGACTTGTAGCAGACAAGTTCTTTGTAATATTAACCAAACCACATATCACTGCTACTCAGATAAACTAAGAAATATAATTATCATATAATTAGTCTGGATCAGTTTTACAATTTCAAAACTGTCTTTTGTATAGGTTGTTTAAAATCAGGAGGATCCATGGTTACATTTGGTTGACATGCCCTTTTCCTCTATAGCATACTCCCTTCGTTTTCTTTTCTCTCAACATTTGCTGAAGGAACTAGTCAATATATCTGTAGCATGTCCTCTGCTCAGGAAGTGGTTCACGGTGTCCCCATGGTTAGATGGATGTAGTTATACTAGTATTGGCTTCAATTCTAACTGAAAACTGTAATAGTACTGGGAGGCAAACAGAATGCTTCTGGAATACATAGAGCCCTGCTGATGTTAATTTAGTTGTGGTATATGCTAATTTCCTGTAGTTGCAATATTTTACCACTGACTTGGTCATTTACATTATCTACTTGGTCATTTACTTGTTGCAGTTTTGGAGGCCAGAAACTTAAAATGAGATTCAGCAGCTATGCTCCCCACAGACTGCCATCATGAATCCTACACTTTGGCATTACCAGATTAAAGCCCAGCTACACAGACCCAATCAGAACATGCTCCAGCTGTTTGTACCTGAAATTTCCTTCAACTTAAACAAACAGCAAGTTTTAGGGACAGTGAGATGACTTAGCAGGTAAAAGGATGTGCCACCAGGCCCGATGACCCGAGTTCAATCCCCGGCACCTGCACGTTAGGAAAGAACTGAGTACACAAGTAGTCCTTTGATCTCCACACATGTCCCATGGTACACACACCCACACCACACCGCCTAATTAAATAATGCAGTCAAAATGCTGGGCATTATAATTCACATTGTATACAATTCATTTATCCAACACCTACAACTTAACAATGTGTATTCAGCATTGCATCAACACTATGCTCAATTTTAAAACATTTTTGTCACCTCAAAGGAAACCCACATCCATTAACAGATTATCTTCTCCCAACTCCAAAAACCACCAGTCTGCCTTCTGGCTATAGATTTGTCCATTCTGTGCACGTAAATAAATAGACCATACAGGGGTATTTTTCATATAGTATTGTTTCCAAGTTTCATCCACATTGTAGTGTGTCTCAATAACACATTCCTCTTTGCTGCCAAATAGGGTCCTGTTGTATGAATATATAACATTTAATGTATTTGTTCAATTTAGACATCTGGATTGTTTATTCATTTTGACCATTATAAGATCACTCAAAGCAGATGACCAGACTCGTGTGATTAGAATTTCCTATGCTTAGAATTGCTGAGCAATAGAGCAGCTGCCTCCTTGCAGCTTTGTGTATGAAGCCAAATTTAGTGCTACTGTAGTATCCTAAGGTCTCCCACTGTCCAGTGTTACACTGAGCTGACCAGTTTGTGTTCACTCTGTCACTCCTGTTTCCTTTGTGATGCTGTGGTGTTTTGAACAGCAAGGGCAGGCTGCTGCATACTCTTGGAATTTATGAAAAGAGGATAATCAGGAACTGCCCTAGACCAGCTGAAATAACCCCACTAGAGGACACTGAGCATATGCACTTTGAAAAAACACCCATGACTTTGATGTCTGACCCTAGACATGTTTTATCTGACAGGGGCTAGCTACTAAGCTATAGAAGTGAGCATGTGTGGCTCAGCCTGTGGTGTGCTCCCTTCTTGGAGAGCTAACGTCTAATTACTCTGAAACAAAACAAAACAAAACAGGATAAACTATTTCTTCAAGACATTGGTCCTAGAACATAAGGTATGCCCTTGCTCTTCAGGCACAGGACGGACATGTGGCTTCTCCAAATAAGAACTATAGGGAGGCTGCTTAGAGAAGGTGCCTTCTTCTGTAGGTTCAGCTTCATGCTGGCACGAGTAATTAGTGGTGCTGGTGACTGAACTCAGGGCCTTGCCCAGGCTTGACAGGTATTCTACCATTAAGGGATACCTCAAACCCTAAAGCAGACAATTGACTTCCTGATTCCCATGATGCCTTACTTCTCAATTTGCCCCAAGTAAAGAGGGGGGCAAAGTGTGTTACCTGCTGGTATGCTTCTACAAGCATCACAATACTAGTATAAATCATGACTGTCCATGTCTATGATACTTGTATTTGGAAGTGACAGTAACTTTTCCCCAAGCCAGTGAGCAATTCATCCAAAGTAGAACATACTTCTAAAAGAATAAAGCAGCCTTCTTTCTTCACCGGCACAAACAGCTTTTACTTTATTGGGAATAATCTCAGTCATGATCTGCAGAGGTTGGTCCTGGGCAATTTGAAGATAGATCTTCTTTATCTGTAATTTATGTGGGAGAAATAAAAGGTAAATACAAGTTTAGAGCAAATTTTTAGAAAATTGAATGTAGTATTTTTGATCAGTCATGTTTGTTATTTATTCTACGAAGTAAATGAGGACAAGATAAAAAATAATAATAAAAAATAAGCTGCCAGGGGCTGGAGACGTGGCTCAATGAATAAGAGCACTGGCTGCTCTTCCAGAGGACCTGGATTCCATTTCAGCACCCACATGTGGCTCACAGCTAAGTCCAGGACCAGGGGATCTGATGCTGCCTTCTGGCCTCCATGAACACTGATTGTACGTGGTGTACAGACATACACAGGAGCACAGTACCCATACACATAAAATGAAAATTTAAGAGATTAGAATAATAATGAAAAAAATCCTCAAATACAAAGTCCTAATTAGACGTTAATCAAGTTGAAATGGACAAAAGCATGAGACATTTGGTTCAGTTAAGATACTTGGCAAGGGGCTGGAGAGATGGCTCAGAGGTTAAGAGCACTGACTGCTCTTCCAGAGGTCCTGAGTTCAATTTCCAGCAACCACATGGTGGCTCACAACCATCCATTATGAGATCTGGTGCCCTCTTCTGGTGTGCAGATATACATGGAAGCAGAATGTTGTATACATAATAAATAAATAAAATCTTTAAAAAAAAAAAAGATACTTGGCAAGGCTTTTCTGAAGGGAAACAGAGGCAGAGTGCATGGGGGGAAGGGAGGTGGTGGGGAGAGACTGGGAGGAGAGGATGGGGAAGCTGCAGTCAGAATGAATATGAGAGAAGACTAGATAAAGAAAAAAAGGATATTTAGCGAAGGTTAAACTAATTTTCTTCTTCACAATGAAAAAAAGAGTGGATTTCAACAGACTTGATTTTAATGAGTTAGGACAATAGTCTAACCAAATTGAAATTAGTTATAAAATTTTAGTGCAAGTATCTTTCAAAGAATGAATCTTCAAAAATAAAGCACGAAAGAAATTATTATCTTCAAGTTATTTTTGGTTCTTTTTTTTTTTTTCCCTTTTTTTTTTTAACAGGGTTGGTGGTTGAAGCAGGGTTTCATTAATTAGCCCTGGCTGGGCTGGAACTTGCTATGTAGGTCAGAGAGCAGCTATCACAGCACTCACATACAAAGTTTGAACACACAATAAAAACAAGTCTTTCTTCCTTCCTTCCATCCTTCCTTTCCTTTCCTTTCTTTCTCTTCTGCTTTTTTTGAGACAGGGTTTCTCTGTATAGCTCTGGCCATCCTGAACTCACTCTGTAGACCAGGCTGGCCTTGAACCAGAGATACACCCTGCCTCTGCCTCTTGAGGCTTGGGATTTAAGGTGTGTGTCACCATGCCTACCCTTTTTAAGTTACTCTTTAGACTTGAAATTATTGAGTAATAAAATGGTGAAAATTCCCTCTTGCACAGTTAGTTGCTAAAAAGTTAAATGCTACATTCTAATAAAAACTCTACTTCTATAGTCACTATTTCTTTAGACACTGGTTCCACATTTCTATTTGAATGGAGTAAGACATGTGGGCTTTAGTAAAAATAAGCAAGTATTTACGGGCAATATTTTTAAAACATAAATCATCTTCTCACCTTCGTAGGCTGTCCCACACCAAATGCAATATAGATGCTCTTCTCGCAAGTAGCTGGTGAGTATCTGCAGTTTTTCCAGTGCCTGACAGAGGACACAGGTGCATCAGTGGCTTGCATCAACCAGGACCTTGGTTCCTGGACCTCAGTTCAGTTACTTGAGCCCAGTCTTGAACTCTTCAGGTGCACTCTCAAAGTGACTCAAGGTGTCAGAGCTGAGGTGGTATGTTAGCACATGTCTCAGCTGACTAACCATTTGTTCACAAGAGACAACTGGTGGACAAAAGAAATCATCTTTTGGCTGGCTCTGTGATCAAGTTTTGTTGTTTTTTAAAAAAGACAGTGTCTCATTATGTATTCTTGGTCTGGAATTGGTAGACCACGCTGGCCTTGAACTCACAGAGACCTGCCTGCTTCTGCCTCCTGGGTGCTGGCATTAAGGTGTACACCATCATGCCCAGCAGGAATACCCATTTTGAGTGACAGATCATGGGGCACTGAAGTAACCACTGTGACCAGTATAATCAGGACTCACAGACCTCTTTTACTCTCAAGGAATCTGTCCCTCAGGTGAGGGGAGGGGGACTGCGTCCTTCAGTCACACTTAGCAGCTCAGGGAAGCCATACATGTGTGTAAAGCAGTGAATGTTGCCGAGCAAAATTCCATATGTAAGTAACTCTGGGAATATTATTGTCCTTTCTTGAAAAATCACATTTTAAAACTTAACTGTGCATATGTGTGTATATGAGTCTCACATGCTTGCCAGTATGTGTCAGAGGAAAATTTGGGAGAGTCAGTGCTTTCCTTCCACCATGTGAGTCCCAGGGACTGAACTTGGGTCGTCAGGGTCCACAGCAAGTGCCTTCACTCACTGAGCAATCATCTACCCTGGGCTTCCTTCTGAGTTTATTTTCTGTTTGTTTTGTGAATGGATGAGGTCCATATTAGGATCACTTTTAGACATTTAACAGAAAACAAAGTCAACTGCAATCATTTACATTTGTGTCTAATCTGTCTTTTTTTTTTAAAGAATTATTTATTTATTTATTTATTTATTTATTTATTTAATTTATTTATTATGTATACAGTCTTCTGCCTGCATGTATCCCTGCAGTCCAGAAGAGGACACCAGACTATATTACAGATGGTTGGGAGCCACCATGTGGTTGCTGGGAATTGAACTCAGGACCTTTGGAAGAACGGGCAGTGTACACTTAACCCCTGAGCCATCTTTCCAGCCCTAATCTATCATTTTCAGTAAACTAAAGCTAAGTGGAAAAATTACATGAAGTTTTTATTTCTGGGATAATAAAACATTCCTGGAAATCAGCAGCTCTCAACTCGGAGTTATTTTTCTCCCCAGGAACTATTAGCAATGCTGGGAATACTTTTTGGTTGTCAAATTGCAGTTGCCAGTATTTATACTCCCTGATCAATCACTCCCAATCACTCATTCTCAGACTCCTGAGAAAAGCTTAGCTGTTCTCTGTCACTCCTGTGGGCCTGAGGCACTGGAGCTCTCAGCATGGCATGCTGATGTCAGCAGTGCACATTCACTCAGGACTTCATTCACTCAAGGCTTCCTCTGTTCCCTCCACAGCTGCATGCCTGGTCTCCACACTCTAGATGCCAGTTTCAGGTCAGGGTTGCTGGGGGTAGTAGGTACAACCATCTGAGTGAGCATGCCCCAACCTGATCCTAGTTTTCCTGTGTGTGTGTCTATGTGTCTGTCCTTTCTAAGTGGCAGGTGGTACTGCTACACATTCTATCATGCTGCTCACAGCAAAGAGTTACCCAGCTTCAGGTGATAATAGTGCCAAGGCCGAGATTTCTGCTACAAGGAGACAAACGGTACCCAGACATACACTCAAATCTTCACTCGTGCATTCATCTTCATCCTGTTCTTCCTCTTCCTCTTCCTCAGTCTCCTCTTCAGGCTTTAACCAGTACCATGCCTCCCTGGGAACCTGAATATTCTGAAAATGCAGAATTATTTTTTATGAAACATGATACTTGTGGTGTCATAAGTATGTCTGTGTTAACATGAACTTGTCCTTCCAATTAATATTTACTGAGTGCAATTTCTCAGTAAACCATTGGACCATTAACATGAGGACTGAAAGGGCAGTTAGAATTTTGTCAGTCAGACAGGAAAGATGGGTGATGGGTGTAAAACTGTACATATAAGCTAGTTTCACTACCTGAGAGATAAAATCTCATGGAAATACAGTGAAGTGGGACATTCCTCCCAGCTACTTATACATGGCAGAAATTATACCAATATTTAAGTGAAGTCATTTTATTTTGATGCCACTGTGTTTTGTAAAAGGCAAAGATTTCTTCTACAATGATTTTTAAAAGATTCCTATTTGAAATGAAAGCCCTGTATCTTAATTTCCCAACAGACACACCAAGGGGTAAGTATGAACTAAAATTATGTTATTTTGGTTAATCAAACACTATGGGGAACAGAATATCTATACATTCCAGTCCTGAGTAATGACAATTTGAATAAATGAAAGGCTAACCCTTAGCAGACAACTCAGGAAACAGGTCCCTGGAGTAAATCAGCCATTAGTGTGTCAGTCACCGCAGTAGGTGGTGCACATCAAACAAAATCTTTTTTTTTTTTTTTAAGACAGGGTTTCTCTGTGTAACTCTGGCTGTCCTGGAACTCACTCTGTAGACCAGGCTGGCCTCAAACTCACAGATCCATCTGCCCCTGCCTTCCGAGAACTGGGAGAACTGGGATTAAAGCCACTGCCTGGCTCAAATGAAATCTTTAAAGGTAAAGTTTTAGAATCAAGGGGTGGAGATTTTCTTTCTTTTCTTTTCTTTTTTTTCTTTTCTTTTCTTTCCTTTTTAACTCAATAGAAATATAAACCAAACCATCCAGATACCGAAGCCCTAGGAGACTGGAAGAAGAGCTGCCCGCCTACCTTCTGGGTATCCAGCTGCTGGCAAGCTCGCTGGCTTCTCCTCAGGTCTCCTTCGAGTTTCATCTCATCTTGCTTATTTTTCAGTCGCATCCTAAGTGAAGGGAGAATCGTAATGTCTATAGTCTCTTAACTACTTTAGTACCCAAGTACTGGGGACACACCACAATAAAGAGGATTTGAAGCAAAACCAGGTCAAAGAAAACGTCTTACCGGAACTGCTCGGTGGCCTTTTCTTCATTTTGGTTTTTCATATGAATTTTTCTCCTGTAGTTTTCTAGCCTTTCTTCTGCTTTCCGTTTTAATAATGACTCGTGACCTATGCCACTTTTTCCTGGCCACAGACAAAAATTTTGATGAGGAATTCAGGAACTTACTAAAATTTCAAAACACAATTTAGATACTTAAGAAAGTAAATGCAGTTCTGACTTGAATATAATTATCCAAACTTATTCCATTAAACAGAAAACAACAGGATGATTTTTCACAAAGACCACAAAGTCTCATTCAACACAGTAATTCTACACACATTTTTAAAAATTATGAGTTGGGCAGTGGTGGCACACACCTTCAATCCCAGCACTGGGGGTGGGGGTGGGGACAGAGGCAGGCAGATCTCTGAGTTCAAGGTCAGCCTGGTCTACAGAGTGAGTTCCAATACAGCCAGCAGTATACAGAGAAACCGTGTCTCAAAAAACCCAAAATAAATAGGTAAATAATAAATAAAATAAAAATTAGGAAAATAACATCAACTATCACACTTTCATAAACGTATGCCTGTTTTCTCTTGAATTAATTCAAGAAATGACATTAAAAATGTCATTGATAAATCTGCTTAGAACATTTTTAGCACATCACAAAAGACAAGGAAGACACTGCACTTTCCACAGCTGTAAAAATTTCCCTCCAGTTTTTTTGATTCTGGGGTCAGAGGCAGAGCCATATACTGAAAGGGCAGGCACTCTGCCAATGGGCTTCACCCTTAACTCTTAGGTAGGGCCTCACTATGTAGCTCAGGCAAGCCTCCACATCTCCACCCTCCTACATCTACCTCCTAAATCCTGAGATTACAGATGTCTAATTGCAAATGACTACTCCTGGCTCCTCCATAATTTTTATGATTTAAATTTTATATTCTATTACTTCTATTTCACCAAAATGTACTTAATTTTTTTCTACAAAACAACTTTAAAAAGACTTAGAAATTTAACATTTCACTATTTCATAGGCTTCTTAAGATAGCCAACTACAAGTGTGTCATCACAAAACACATTTAGCAAGCCAATCTAAGTTATTGTTATTTAATATACTAAGAAAATGACTATATACCTGTTTTGACATTGAGAGGAATTGGTTCAACAATACCATCTCCTAGAAAAAGAAAAAAGAAACATAAATTAGAAATATTTTATTTACCACAAAGTTCAGGTCAGTCAGCATAAATGTAACATTACAGTGCTCTCTGTATATTCCATCCCAGTTTCAGTGACAATCCAAATTGAATTCTGGAAACTAATGCTCTCTTTTTCAGCTATTACCTCTCCTAATTTTAAATAACTCCTATCTATCTGTCTGTCTGTCTATCCACCTACCTACATACCTATCATCTATTCTTGAGACCAGGTCTAGCTGTCCTAGACCTCTCTCTGTAGATCAGGCTGGCCCTGAACTCACAGAGATCCACTTGCCTCTACCTCCCCAGTGCACTTATGCCATTTTAGGGAGCAACATTATGGACAGTCGACAGTCTTAGCAGGCAGAAATCTCAAGAGAAAACAGTCTTTCTATATGAAAAAAATCAAAGTGATTAAAACAGAAAAAAAAGCAAACTGAAGCCACAATTGACAGCCAGTATATCTTAATAAGCACTTTCATTTCCTACAAGGGAACACAGCTTCTCTAACTGGAAGGTCAGTCAGACGCTGCCATAGGCACAGAGCAAGGTGGGAAGAGCCCTATGTGGTCCCCAAAGTTGCTTCATTGCTATCTGGTCACTGTGCTTCTCTGCCCATCATCTGCTACCATTCTTCACTGCTTCTGTTGTCAGCCACTTGCCAGAGCCTTCAAGTTTAATCAGCTCATGTCAACATGTGTGGCATTTAGTCCACGTGAGAGGACAACTCTGTAAGGACTGTTAGCATTGAAGATACTAAGAAACTTAAGTGGTTATACTTTCTGTCTTATAGTTTAAAAAGCACTGTCAACTTAGGTGTCCATCAGCACACTGCCACCCAGTGGTAAAGAACAACGAGTCAGTTCCTCACGTGACTCACCACTCTTGCCCAGAGCCTGCCCACTCTTGTACCCCATCTTTTGGAGCAGAGCGAACCCTTTGTTTTCACAGCCTAGTGCATTCTTCAACCCGATGTCACGTCTTTCCTGCTCTTCTTCTTTCACACTCTTCTGCCTGTTTTTCAGATTAGCTTCCTGTTGTCTTTCTTCTTTACGACGGGCCTCCCGGATCTGCCTCAGCATTGGCACGCCTGGTCTGATATCTTCTCTGAAAAATAAAGGCAGCAGTGTAACCAAGTAGTACCCTGTTTCTCCCTGTTTTCCAGGTACACTCTTGACATTGACAGAAGGCAGAAGGGGGCACCCAAAGAGGGTTAAGAGCAGAAGCAAAATGGTTAGCGCCAAAAGAGATGAGCTAGCTCCTATTCTCTTTGTATGAACACACAGGATGCTATTCATGAAATAGTTGAGACTGATTATTTTGGAAGCAGGAGGGGGATTCAAAACAGGTTTCTTTCTGTGAAGTTCTGGCTGTTCTAGAACCCTCTGTAGACCAGGCTGGCCTCAAACTCAGCAATCTGCCTGACTCTGCCTTAAAAATTGAAATACGTATTTAAAAATGTTCTGGGGGGAGGGGTAGCTCAGGTAGTGTCAGAGTAGTCAAGAGTACTTGCCTAGCAATGAGAATGCCTGAGAATGATTCCCCACACTTCAACAACTACTCATGGCTTTTGCACACACTTGTAGACTCAATCCTTAGGAAACAGAGGCAGGGGAATCAGCTACATAGTGAGCTGGAGAGCAGCCTGGGCTACATGAGACAGCCTGAGCTACATGAGACAGACCCTGTCTCAAAACAAGCAAACACACATGACTACCACCACCACCCAACCAATGTCCTTATTTTATAGTCTACATGTGTCTTCTCCATATCATCCTATTAGCCGAACACATTTACTTACTGAACATTAATGAAAGAATCTGACATGTAATCTTCTTCTTCTGCCATGTTCAACTTCATATGACAACACTGCCTACAAATCAAATGGGACAAAGTAATAGTATTATCACTATCATTTTAGTTTACCAAAGTGGAAATCAAGCATGAATGCTACATGCTGCTCCCTTGTACACAAAGCTAGAGAATTTCAGCACCCCACGTCCTAGAAACAGAGGAACAGCCAACCAAACACATGCTAACTGGGAATGGTGTGGGCTTTTGAAACCTCAAAGCCCCTGTTGTGACACACCTCCTCCGAGGCCACACCTTCTAATACTTCCCAAAGAAGTCCTCCAACTGGGGACCAAGTTGGAGGGGGTACTCATTCAAAAATATGAGCCTATTGGTACCATTCTGATTCAAATCGTCACAGAAGTAAACACTCTTGTGTTTTCTTTCCTGAGATGGGACCACCCTGTGTTCTGTCTCATGCTGGCCTGGAAGCCACTATATAGTCCAAGTTGGCCTTGGAACTTGTAATTCCCTAGTTATGAGACAAACACTCACATAATTATGTAGTATTCTCCAAAATGGTCTGCTTCTAGTAAATGTTACCTCTTGGCTTTTGATGATGTTGTGTAATCTCCAAATTGACTAGTTCATGTAACCAGCAAGATTTTGTACATTAGAGTGACTTTTGGGTCACACTGTACATTTCACTCTATGAAGTCAGTGCTCACATGAGAGCACTCAAGAAGGTCTATGGAGACGCCTACATGGGAGGATCTGAGGCACAAATTCGTGAGCCAAACTAGTGAAGCCTGAGGTGAATGAGACTGGATTCCAGTATTCTTACATGGAATAGTACTCACCTAGTTCATGAACAGCTCAATAGACGCAAACTGTCAGTTCCACTTTGCAGGTAGAAAAAAATAAGGCTCAATTTGGCTAAAGGACTTGTTCGAAACCACACAGAATACATACAGGTCTTGGTAATCTTGCTCCTGAAACAGAATGAGGTTATAATTGTTGTTGCTGAGCTGGATATCCATACCACACACAGGACCTCACACATGCAAGGAAAGTATTCTACCACTGAGCTAAATCTCTAGTCCAAACTGAATTATTTTTTATTTATTTTTCTTTTCTGGTTTTTCTAGACAGGGTTTCTCTGTGGCTTTTGGAG